AAGAACACCCACACTTGCAGATAATACCCACTTGACTTGGTTTCAATGGCTAGATGATCAGAACTCAACTAGAAGATGAAAGGAGAAGAAAAAAAGAGTAATCTGGTACAGTTTGATGAAACTGACCTACACATATGGATGCAGCAGCTCAAAAGAGGGAGGAAATCTTTACACTGAGGATCATTCCCACTATTTCGGTATACAGAGTAGACAGGGATGGGCAACTTGGACATTTGCTACACAAAATGCAGGGGGGTGGGGGGCTACAAAGTCAAGAAGTGATTGGCTTATAAGCTTTCAAGAGGGAGCCTAGATTAAAAAAAAAAAAATTGCATCCTAAAAGATGATGACATGGAGAGAAAGAGCAGCTGAGGAATCCAGACTCATGGAAAGAGAAAGGCTGTGTGCTGGCGGCCAGGAGGCAGGCTTGGGTTGTTTAAATGATTATATATTCCTGAGTGTTTTTGTGTACATCAAAAAAGCACCCCCAAAAACAGAGGGAATAGAAGCAAATACTGTCAAATGGTGACACATAGAGGGATTGTAATCATTGCAATGATATGAAATATGACAGAATGAGTGCAAAACTGGTATTTGCCCATGTAAACTAGCATTCAATGCACAATGAAATATATATATATATTTAAATTGCAGCCGAGGAAAGCCTATGTCACAGTTTACTCTGTCGTATAGGACTGCTATGAGTCAGAATCTGCTTCCCAGCACACAACCATACTTTTTACACAACAACCAAAGCAACATGAAGAAGGGTACACAAGGTCAGCAGTTTAAACTCACCAGCTGCTCCTCAGAAACAGGGTCGCTGTGAGTTAGAACCAACTCAATGGCACTTAACAACAACAACAACCCAACAGTGACAAGTAACAGTGCCAGTAAAGAAGCATGCTGGATGGGAATGGTACCTTTGTGACAGACAGTTCCTTGGATTTAGATTCAAATAGATGCTCCAGTCTGGACGTGTCCACTTTAATGGGTTCCAGTTTTGACCACAGGAATTCCCGGCAGCGTCGGTTGTTTTTACATGGCCACTCAAAAGGCCGAACTTCATTCCAGAATAGACGGATGGTCTTCTTTTTCTTCGAGAATGCCGGATGACCCCTGGGTACCTGGGGCCACCCTAAGCCCTGAGGAGCGTTGAACACTGGAGGAGGAGCCAATAAATTACCGGGGACTGGAGGGGGGGGCACGCTGTCCAACAGGGGTGGAGGGGGTGGGGGTGGCAGACCCAGAAAGGTGGGTGGGGGTGGGGGTGGTGGCCCTGGGGTCTCCCTGTGACCCAGGTCCACATCCAGGACGTCAATGTCATCCTCCTCCCCCAGGTCGGTGAAATCCATGTCTTGAATTCTGAGTTCTCGTGGATTGGCCATGAGCTGGTCCCAGATGTAGTCAGACTCTGTCTTGGGCTGTGCCAGAGCTTTCTCCAGAACCCTGTCATTGGGCTCATCATCAGGAGAGACAGACCCTCTCCCCAGGTCCCCGCTGTTGAACTTCTCGGCAAAGGCTTTCACACTGCCCCGATTGTCCAGACAGTCAACGTCCAACTTCCTGATGCTCTCGTCTTGGGCCTGCGAGTGGGCCTGCAGGGTGGATATCCTGCTGGCCAGGCTGGCTACTGCCTCTGCGCCCTGCTCAGTCCTCCCTGTCTCACCCTCCTCCTTCTCCTCGTCATTGGTGGGCTTTCTGTTATGGGCATACAGCATGTCCAACATGAACCGTTTGTTGGTGAGGATGTCACCACACTGTTCATTTACACCAGCATCCTGGACGCCCGAGGACCACAAACCTGGAAGAACACAGGTGGAAAAAAATTAAGTAAGTGGCACAGGCCTCATATCATGAGAAACTAACTGGCAACCGGTGAGCTTTATGACTTCTGAGAAGATGCTGAGATAATGCAACCAATGCATGTGGTAGTCATAGCTGACGGGAAAGGGATGCTGCACCAAAATCCCAGTGACCCATCGAGGACACAAAACTTTTTTAGACATGATTATTACTCAAGGCTTCCAGCTAAACTTAAGGGAGAAATACCTTACCCTTCCCTGACACCCACAGGAGATGGTCAATACATGCCCAGCCACAGGTAACTAAGGGGTCTTTGTTTTTTCTTGACACAGATAGGCAAAGGGTGATGCGCCTTGATCCATGGCAGGTGTTAGGGGAGCCTATAAGGTTACTTTTGTTTCTTCCCTACTCCATACCTGCACCAGGGCTACTCAAAGTGCCCAGTAGAAAACACAAAGTGTGCATTTGAAATTCATGGTCGCTAGTCTCCCCAAGGAGTCCTGGTGTGGTGTTGTGGGTAAATGTGCCAGACTACAAAGCCGTATGAACTGTAAGGTTGGCGGTTCAAGCTCACCAGTACTCCTTGGAAACTCTATACAGGGTTGTTATGGGTAGGAACTGACTCGATGGCACTTAACAACAACAACAACAACAACAGTCTCCCCAAGGAGTCCTGGTATAGCACTGTAGGATAAGTACTGGACTGTTAACCACCAAGGTGGTGGTTCAAACCCATCAGTTTCTCCTTGGAAACTCTATATAGGGTTGCTACTAGTCAGAACTGACTTGACAGCACTTAGTAACAACAAAGTCTCCCCAAACCAAAACAGTTGCTGTTGATTCAATTCCAACATGGCATGTGAAAGTAGAACTGCACTGCATAGGATTCCAATGACTTAACCTTTCAGAAACAGATCACTAGACCTTTCTTCTAGATTCCTCTGGGAAGACTTGAACCTCCAACCTTTTGGTTAACAACTGAACATCTTAACCATCTGCACCACCCAGGGACTCCTCATTGGTCCCCAGGGATGACACTGCTGAAATATCTGATCATGCATTTCCTTTCCTCGATGACATTCTCACACTGTGCTTTCTCTTCCAACCTTCTCACCTACTTCGTCCTTAGGGATGGCTTGATTTCTGTTAAGTTGGTGAACTAGAAGGGACAACTTTGTTTGCCGACTTACTGGAAGAGCCGGAAGAAATCTAGAGTTTCCATTTCCATAACACCTGGGTGTTAGCACATAGTCTCTCTCCTGTGACCATGTTATACTCTCTCTCAGCATTGGGCCAGCCACTCCCCTTGTACATCAGAAAATCATGCCAGTAATTCTCTTTTGCATTGTCCATGTTCTTCTTACTAGATCTTTCCTACTAGTATATAAATAGGGTATACGTTCTCCCATCTTAAAAACCCAAACCACTCTGACCCCGCTTACCCTTCCAGTTATCACCCAACTTTTCTCATTCCTTTAAAGTAAAGCTGCTTATAAGAGTAGGCTTTGCTCACTGCTCCAATTTCTCTCTTTGTTTCCCCCTTGAAACAGTCTAAAGAAGTTTTATTCCCATTACCCATTATAGTAACACCTTTCAAGATGGCTTTCACATTGCTACACCCTACGACATTGACTCAGTTGGTCTCCTTCACACACTTTCTTGTATTCCAGGATACTGCACATATCTGGCTTTCTTTCTTCTTTCTGGACACTCCTCCTCAGTTTCCTGTGAGGCTCCTTCTCATCTTACACTTGGAAGGTTCTTGGGTCTCTTCTTTTCATCGACACTCACTTTCTCTTCATCTTATCCTCCAGTGTCAAGCCATTTAAGACCATCCGTTGATGGATTTTCAGCCCCTACTTCCTGTCTCCTCATGGGACCTACATCTCTTGCTACTGTTTCCTACCTTCATTACATCCATTTTGCTGTTAGGTCCAAGAACCTTAGAGTCATCCTGACTCTTCCTATTCTTTCCTACCTCACACCAATACAGTCAGACCTTCGTGCTCACACCAGACTCCAGCCGCTTCTCTCATCACCTCCCCTCCACAAACTGATCCAAGCCCGCACAGTTTCTACCTATAGTATTGTGGGAATGCTCTAACTGGTCTCTTTGTTCTACAGTTGCTTCTATATTTCTGCTCAAACTTCTCTAAAGGCTCCATGTTTCTTCAGAGGAAAAAAAATAATCAATGACCTTACAGTATTTGCAAGGCATTCATGACACCAACGCCCCCCGCCCCCCCCAAACACACACACTACCCGCTCACACATAACCCTTTTAGCCACAGTGGATCCTTGACATTCCTACAGAACTCACCAAGCTATTATCTGGCCTCAGGCCTTTATCCCTCCTGGGGCAAACTGTTCCAAGCACATGGTTTGCATCTTCTGCTTCCTTTAGGTCTTTGCTCAGATAGCATCTTCTCAGTGCAGCCTTTCATGACCACATCATTTAATATTTCCCATCAACCCCCAGCACTGTCTATCATCCTTTCCTGCTTTATTTTTCATAGTAACATTTATTACTATCTAATCTTCCATATAAGGAGCTCTGGTAGCGTAGTGGTTACGAATTGGGCTGCGAACAGCAAGGTCATCAGTTCAAAACTACCAGCTGCTCTGCGGGCGAAAGATGAGGCTTTCTGCTCCCGTAAAGATTTACAGCCTCGGAAACCCTGTTCAGTATCACTATGGGTTTGAACCGACTCGACGGCACTTAACAACAACAACAATCTTCCATATAAAGTTACGGATTCTGTTTCATGTGCGCTTTTGCCCCATCACAGGAATGACTATAGGTACTCATTCAGTTGTCTTCTTCACTTAAATGAAGACCCTCTAAGGATAGAGATTCAGATTTGCTTTGTTCATTGTTGTAGCTGCAGCCCCTAGAAGAAATGACTGGACAGTGGAAGAAATGCAGTTCAGCTGGGTTTGGTTTCTAGGAGCTGGCAGAGTTGTGGGGTGGGCTCTTCAGGATGTCAGTTCCATCCAAGCCTGGTTGTGGTGCTGTAGGATAAGTGTTAGTCTGCTAATCACAAGGTCAGCAGTTCAAAACCACCAGCTGCTCCTTGAAACCCTACACAGGGTTGCTGAGTTGAAACTAACTCAACAGCACTTCACACACACACAAACACACAGATAACTCATGCTGGCATGTGGCAGGAGACTGAAGCCAGGGTGTCAGCGTGAGAAGCTTTCATTCTGCCAAAGGATAACATTCTCATGGAAAACACTCAGGGAGGACACCAGTCTTTCCCTGCATGAATGACCCTTGCATAAAGGAGGCATTTCCTGAGGAAGCACAAAGGTCTAGCAGTGCTCTGTTTCTTCCAATGTAGCTTCGTTCTCTGTATTCTGATCCGGAGGGGGCTGATGTGACAATGGGCTCGTAGTTCCAACAAAACCAAGCAAAACAGTACCTGAACCTTCTTTTAGGTTTCACAAGCAAAACACGCTTAGGAAATAATCATTATCAAAGAGAGATAAGATACTGTCTGAGGATATTTCTGAAAAATCTGGCTATTTGGTGCCTGGACAACTGGCCAGACAGTCCTATAAACAGGGAGATCACTTTGATGCTAGGAGGCCATAGCAGATAAAGTAGCTGGGTCTTTCTCAAAAGACTCCCTCCTTTACTTTCTTGCCATTTGTTGGGACATGTTGGCATTTCCTTATTTTGTCAGCAGGGAAAAGAGCATAATCAGGCAATAATTTAAATGCTGGTTTTCTTGCTTGCTCTCTCCATTAATTTCGGTCTTCTTGGTGGAGTGATTCTTTTACCATCATGTAGTGTTCCCTCTTTGTCCCTTAGTAATTTCCTTCACTCTGAAGTTGACTTTATCTGACATTAATGTGAGTATCGCTACTCCTGCTTTTCTTTGATTAATATTTGCGTTGTCTTTGCCCAACTTTTGCCTTAAGCATTTACATACATTGAGCACTATGCATCAAATGGGCCTATAGCTTTTGCTTCAATCATCAAACATGATTTACGGAATTTATGAGAAAACAGAGTCGATTTTCTCTCCCTCTTTTTTTTTACCCTTCTATTGTTTCCATCTGGAAATTCCATGTGTCTGTTAAAATTTCTTCTCTGTTTGGATATCTTCCTTTAGTCATTCTTTAGTTTACACCTGGCCCTGATTAATCATGGTATGGTAGGCTTGTTAGTGACAAACATTCGTAGTTTGCAACATCTGAGAATGTCTTTATTTACCCTTCATTCCTAAAGGATACTTTTTTTTTTTCCTTAAATGTTTTATTGTGAATTATGTGATAGTTTACATGGGAGAACATTAGTTTTACATTCATTCTATCATATATCGTCTCATTGCCATGGTTACAATCCCCTCCATGCAATCCTTCC